GCCAGGGCTACCCCTGCCCGCGCAGTCGTCCCTCTGAACAAACACACGCACGCCCATGTAAGTAAACAATTCATTTGTCACACTAAATTTGTTTCAATTCATTTGCTCGGAATGACAAATAATGCGATATAATTACATTTCTTAGCGTTCTCGGGTGCTTTTGTGGGTGAGGGTTTCCCTCTTCGTCTTCCCTCACAACCCCACTCACGGTCAATGCTCATTAGGCTCTGGCGGTGGGGATTTTAAAATGAGATTGCTACTATTTACGTACGATTTTCCATTAAACATTGGTTAGTGTGTGTGAGTGCTAATTATCATTTCCCCCATTGGCAGGAAGGCAAGGTTTGGTCGAATCTTACCGGAGTTCAAGGTGGGTTTACTAATTTTATTTTTTTAATAAAACATTAATTAAAGTTGCTGAATATATTTCCCCAAATAATGTTAAAGGCGTTACAAGTGGTTCAATCCCTTGCAGACTCCATTGTTTTGCACAAAATAATTTATAATTATTTTAATAGCATTTCTTAGTAATAAAACATTATTACGAATAAAGTAATGAAACATTAAAAAACCAAAATAGATGTTATTAAATAAAACGTAATCGTGTTTAAATTAAATTTTGAACTTGCTGAAATTATGAAGTTTATATTTTTATTTTAAATATTATTTTTCTTGAATAAGGGGGGTACAATATTTAAATTTATTACAATTTTTTTGCATTCTTTTTTTATTTTTATTTCTGAATGCACGACACTTGAAGAATATTGTGTTACAATTATGATCCGAGTAAAACTTCCGAAGTTATGGGCAGTTGAACGTAGGTATTCGGGTGTCCAAAACTTTAAAAAACTCCTAAAAAGTTCCCATTTTCAAAGTCGATCTACCCGCAAAATCGACTGGACAAATCGTTTTAAAATTTTGCATAATACTTCATTACTAATTTCCTTAGGTAATGCTTTCGAGTTTTTTTGTTTATGGGAAAAATTATTATTTTTACAACATCAAATAACTCGGATTATTGGTCGAAAAAATTAAAAAATAAAAACTCGACAGCGTTACCTTGTAAAATTTGTCCTTTAAATACTGCAATTTGATTTTTATACCCTTGCAGAGGGTATTATAATTTTGGTCAAAAGTGTGCAACGCAGTGAAGGAGACATCTCCGACCCTATAAAGTATATATATTCTTGATCAGGATCACCTCCTGAGTTGATATAGCCATGTCCGTCTGTCCGTCTGTCCGTCTGTCTGTCCGTCTGTCTGTTTCTACGCGAACTAGTCTCTCAGTTTTAAAGATATCGAATTCAAACTTTGCACACACCCTTCTTTCCTTTGCACGCAGTATATAAGTCGGAACGGCCGGGATCGGCCGCCTATATCCTATAGCTGCCATATAACTGATTGATCGGAAATGCCATAACTTTGGTGTTTGTCAAGTTAGGAAGTTGGGACTTTCTATGGATTTTATATTTGGCCAATCAATCCGACGTACCAAATTTCATAAGGATCGGCCGACTATATCTTATAGCTGCCATATAACTGATTGATCGGAAATGCCATAACTTTGGTGTTTGTCAAGTTAGAAAGTTGTGATTTTCTATGGGTTTTATTTTTGCCCAATCAATCCGACATATCAAATTTCATAAGGATCGGCCGACTATATCCTATAGCCGCCATATAACTGATTGATCGGAAATGCCATAACTTGGGTGTTTGTAAAGTTAGAAAGTTGGGATTTCCTATGGGTTTTATTTTTGGCAAATTAATCCGACCTACCAAATTTCATATGTATCGGCCGACTATATCCTGTAGCTGCCATATAACTGAACGATTGGAAATTCCATAACTTTGGTGTTTTTAAAGTTAGGAAGGTGGGATTTTTTATGAGTATTAAGAATGCATCATATGAATAATTTTGGAGAATATATCTTGCAGAATATTCTGCAAGGGTATTTCAACTTCGGCTCCGCCCGAAGTTAGCTTTCCTTTCTTGTTTAAATTCAGATGATTCTGTGCTTAGTTACGATGTGCACCGCAAATCACCTTTTTTCGAGGTGCAGCCGGAGATTGCTTATATCTCACTCAAAGCAAAAATTATACTGAGACTATTCGTATCGCCAATAAAAATCGTAAAAAATGCAGAGAATTAAACATAAGGAAAACCATTTTCAAATTATAATATTAAAAGCTCTTAAATCGTCCAGAATTTTGATAGCTCACTTTTAAAACCGAAAATGATAAAAATTCATTCCAAGTTTAACGTTCCACCAATTTTTTTAAAATAAGAAATATATATTTTGATAGATAATTTGGCTTTTCTAGCGAAATATACTGTTTTTTTCTTTTATTATAAAAAAGGGGCTTACAATTTAACATTGTTGTTTTAGTTTATCTAATTTTACTTATTTTAGAAACACAAATAAAAAAGGCAAGAAGGTTAACAAGACCCCATCCTGTTAAGTGATTTTTTTAAATTATAAATGTTAATATTTTTATTTACCCGGAATAACATTTGTTGTAAGCACCTTATTTAGGACAATCAGAATAGCTAATCTAAAAACACGCAGTCTTTCGCCTAATCACAAACTGGCAACACTTACTAAATCTTAACTTTGGGCGCACTAACTTAAATCCGTTTTTGGGCTTCTTGTGTGGCCGAGTTTGCTTGAAAATTCTAATTAATAAGTTCGAGATAGCAAAAAAACCCTAAAATTTCCTTCGAATTTTTTCTAAAAAAAGGTCTCAATTTAATTTGATTTAATAAAAAATATATGTCATATTTTGTAATAATTGTTTCAATGAAATTATGGTCCAATTTTGTTTGTATTTGAAAGTAGCCCGACAATGTGCCATTGTTGTCATCTAGACTGTCAACAGTGGCGCCATCTGGAATAGAGCTACCCCCTGGATTTGTAAACGCCGTATTGCAGCACTGCCGACTACAAATTTTGAAAGGTCCGGCAACTCGGCTAAATATTTCATAAAAACGTGCTACCTGGTCTAACTAGAATATAAATAGGCCTTTGAAAGACCATGGTGTGACACGACTTGCAGCGTTGCCACACTTACGACTTTTATGCTTGTATCTATACTATACACATAATTTACATTTGATTTACTTATTTCTACCATTTAATTTAACTTTTAGCAAGACATTTGATATAGCTGCAACATTCACGGCGCAGAGATGTTGGGAACTGTTGGTCAACGAAAACACACGAACAAGTAGGCCTGAACCAAGCCAGTGAATATACAGAATACACAGAATCTCACACACAAGAATAATTTGCATTTTTTACTTTCATATTATTTTTTACCTATTTTTAATTTAATTTCTTATATTCTTAAAGTGGTTTTTAATAGAATTACAAATTATTTTGTATCATAATAAAAAAATAAAAGAAACATATTATGGTTTATTTTTAGCTTTCTTTGTTTTTTATTGAATTTGTTTGTTTTTTAGTATTTTTGTTATATATGTTTTTTTTTTATTTCACGCTTCCTTATTTGTTTTAGCCTAGTATCCAGATCGACAAACGAGTATGCTAGCGTAAAGCCTAGTATCCACTTCGACGTAAACCGTGCGCCAGTCATGAGAGAGAGCGAGAGGCAAACAGCTGGCGTTCACTTTTCGTCGGGCCTTTTTTTCACTTCGGTCTCCTGATCGACGAAAAAAATACCAGAAAATTCCATAGCGTTGCCAGTCTGCGGAAATAAACTTTGGGTGAACCCTAGCGAAAAGATTAAAAAATTTAATCTTTTGGCGTGCGCTTCTCACTGAACATTATAAGAAATGGAGGGAAAAACTCAAAAATCTCACAAAAGTCGATTGCAGGTGTTTACATGTGATGACAAAATAACATTAATACTATCTGGGGTGCCTCTTGTCAGAGCAAAATGTTTTTTAGGTCCAGAATGTACGAAAAAACACAATAAAAGTGCAGCTATGAACTTTAAATTAGCAAATAATTATCATAAAATTAAAAAAAACAACTGTTAAATTTAAATTGTATTGTTTTTTAACTTCTTTGTACAGCGGCAGACTTGTCTTGCCAAGGTATTTGATAATATCTTTTAAAGGCTCTTTCCCGCAAATACGATATTTGAATTTTAACTGCTTGTCAACAAACCCAGCTGATTGTCAGTACGATCGTAGCACGCTTAAATCCGATGAACTCTCGAAATTTTGGTCACACTGGAAAGATTAAAGTTTTTACGCTAGCATACTCGTTTGTCGATCTGGATACTAGGCTTTAAAACTTTAATCTTTCCAGTGTGACCAAAATTTCGAGAGTTCATCGGATTTAAGCGTGGTACGGTCGTACTGTCAATCAGCTGGGTTTGTTGACAAGCAGTTCAAATTCAAATATCGAATTTGCGGGAAAGAGCCTTTAAAAGATATTATCAAATACCTTGGCATGACAAGTCTGCCGCCGTACAAAGAAATTAAAAAACAATACAATTTAAATTTAACAGTTGTTTTTTTTAATGTACTGATAATTATTTGCTAATTTAAAGTTCATAGCTGCACTTTTATTGTGTTTTTTCGTACATTCTGGACCTAAAAAACATTTTGCTCTGACAAGAGGCACCCCAGATAGTATTAATGTTATTTTGTCCTCACATATAAACACCTGCAATCGACTTTTGCGAGTGTTTTGAGTTTTTCCCTCCATTTCTTATAATGTTCAGTGAGAAGCGCACGCCAAAAGATTAAATTTTTTAATCTTTTCGCTAGGGTTTACGTTTCCGCAGACTGGCAACGCTATGGAATTTTCTGGTATTTTTTTCGTCGATCAGGAGACCGACGTGAAAAAAAGGCCCGACAAAAAGTGAACGCCAGCTGTTTGCCTCTCGCTCTCTCTCATGACTGGCGTACGGTTTACGTCGAAGTGGATACTAGGCTTTTACATATTGCATTTTCGTGTCACGACTCGCATAAGTCGATAGCTGGCACCCAACCACACAAACCATTTTCGTTTCACTCCTTGTATAAATCGATAGCTGGCTCCCGACCATCGTAGCAGTGTGTAGTGATTGGCCCACCACTAGCGAACTCAAAAAATGGTTTAATTTTGTAAATAATGAGCAGCGCTTTCAAAAGAAAATATTTAACGCCTATTTGCGATCGTAAGATAATGTTAAAATGGATATAGAATGGATTGATGACGATGACGAACTAGTGGCGGCCTTGGCGGTACACGAACAGCAGATAACAGAGGTATTTGTCTGAATTTCCCTAAAAGAGCCGCCTAAATTCCATTCGTCGGGATCCTCAGCAAAGCGAAGAAAAACCACGGCATGGAAGTTCAAATAAAGCCTGCGAAGGATTCGATATGTCCACTGGGCACAACTGGATCTATCCAAACAATAACCCTCTGCGAACCTATCAACAAAGCATCGTTCAATCGGCACTGTTCAAAAACACCCTGGTGGTGCTTCCCACAGGATTGGGAAAGACGTTCATTGCGGCGGTGCTGATGTACAACTTCTACAGGTGGTATCCCAAGGGAAAGATCGTGTTTATGGCTCCTACAAGGCCCCTGGTATCCCAGCAAATAAGCGCGTCCCAGAAGACTATGCCCTTCCCCTCGGCCGATACCGTGCAACTAACAGGTGAGCAAAAATGGTGTGTTGAACATCTGATAAGTGTCTGTTGCTTCTTTACTACACTACTCTTTTTTTCGAGACAATCATTTACAATTTTAAATTGGTGATTCCAGGACAACTCCCGCGAAACAAACGAGCTGAACTCTGGGCCACCAAGAGGGTCTTCTTTGCCACGCCACAGGTAGTTTACTCAGACATGCTGGATGCGGATGCTTTCCCCTTCAGCTCCATCAAAATGATGGTGGTGGATGAGGCTCACCGGGCTAAGGGTCGCTATGCTTACACCCAAGTGGCCGACTGCCTGATGACGCGCAACCACAACTTCCGCATGCTCGCCCTGTCTGCCACTCCAGGAAGAACCATGGAGGATGTGGCTACAGTTTGCAAAAACCTGTACATATCCAACCTGCAGGTGCGATGGGACAACTCGATCGATGTGCAGCCCTACATACACAGGCGGACTATTAGAACCATAGTGGTCTCTTTAAAGGAGAGAATCAAGGAGTCAAGGGAGAAGTTGCTGCAGATTATCGAACCTTATCTACGTCAGCTCATTGAAGCGGAAATTTTTAAAGGCAACAAGGGAAGCATCAGCAAAAACAGTTTGCTCTTTGAACAGAAAACCTTCACCGAACGCTCGGCACAGGGCCAGCGACATCCGGATCACAACATTATAATGGGCAACTTCTCCATGTGCATCAGCATGTATCACTCGCTGGAGCTTATGGAGCGCCATGGTCTTCGTGTGTTTGTCAACAATTTCGATGCAGACGAGGATGGCCGTGAAAAGTTTGTTCTGGCTAGAGATGGCGAGCTGAGGAACTTGGTGGAGAAGGTACGACTTGAACTGGGTGCCAATCCGCTGGACTACACCACACATACCATGACAAACGGAGAAGTACCTGCGATACCCGTTGATCTTGACTTTGGCCATGACAAGTACGAAAAGTTACGGCAGGTTTTGGTCCAGCACTTTGAAGTAAGTACAACAATTTGTTTAAATAAGATAGCAAAAAGTATTTCTTTAAAAATATTGTATGTAGGTAAAACCCTGCATAAATGCATTTTATTTCTTTGGGCTCTATCAACCCGAAAACATTGAAGATGTACAAAAAACTAGTTATTGATATCTAATTTTATAACGGAATATCTTTATATTTCCTTTTAAATATTCATTATTTAAAAATTTAGAAGCTACGTCGATTTTTCCATATATTTTTATACCCGTTACTCGTAGAGTAAAAGGGTATATTGTATTCGTGCAAAGGTATATAACAGCTAGAAGGAAGCGTTTCCGACCCTATAAAGTATATATATTCTTGATCAGGGTCACTAGCCGAGTCGATATAGCCATGTCCGTCTGTCCGTCCGTATGAACGCTGAGATCTCGGAAACTATAAAAGCTAGAAGATTGGCATTTTTCGAAAAAAGTAAAAATGCAGTTTTATTGTGTTTATCAATACCTATCGAAATGCAGAAGAAATTTTCAAATCGGACCATTTGTTAAAAAGTTATGCGTGATCAAAGTTTCTATCTCCATCTCCCTCGCACTCCCTTTACCTGAGTAACGGGTATCTGATAGTCGGGGCACCCGACTATAGCGTTCTCTCTTGTTATAATTTTATTTCCCGATTTTTCCTATGTGAGCTATTTAATGTAGTAGGACGATCCGGTCCGATCCGACATGCAATAGAAAGACTTTTTGAAAAGTTTCATCCAAATAACTGAAGGACTTTAGTAATATACTAAAAACAACGATGCTATGTCGATTTTGCGCTGCATGTTGGCAGCTATACGATATTGTTGTCCGATTTTAATTGAATTAAAATCCCAGTTCTAATTTAAAAAATTTTTTTTTCCATTGTTCCTATGGGAGCTATATGATATAGTCGACCGATTCGGCTCGTTCCGACTTATATACTATCTTCAATAGAAAGATAACTTTTGGGAAAGTTTCAAGCAGATAGCTTTAAAACTGAGGGACTAATTTGGCCATGGCTAGATCGACTCTCCTGGTGATGCTGATCAAGAATATATATACTATATAGGGTCGGAAATGTCTCCTTCACTGCGTTGCAAACTTTTGACTGAAATTATAATACCCTTTGCAAGGGTATACAAACCTGCGGGCTTAAGGATAGAGGCTGAATTAAAAAATTAAATGCAGGTTTTGCCTGAAAACATTAAGTTTTTCTGCAACTTGAGTTCCCAAAAAACCTTCTTTCTACCCTACCCTAAATGTACAAATTACCAATTCTGAAAATTATTTTTTAACGTTTTTCAGTCGAAGACTGATTCCCGTGCCATTGTGTTTTGCGAGTACCGTGAGTCCGTGATGCTGATCCACCGGCTACTCCTCCAGCACAGGCCCGTGCTTCGTCCGCGTTGCTTTGTTGGCCAGGGCAGCACAGTCGGAGCCAGCTACGCTCTCACCCAGAAACAGCAGCTGCAGATTATGGCCGACTTTCGGGCCGGCACCAGCAACGTACTAGTGGCCACGTCGATCGGAGAGGAGGGGATCGACGTGGGCGAGGTTGAGTTAATAGTGTGCTTTGACATCTGCAGCTCCAATCCCACAAGATTTGTTCAGCGGATAGGACGCACAGGAAGGAAGAAAAACGGAGAAGTGGTAATGCTGGTTACCGAGGGACGAGAACAGCAGGTGTTGAAGGAAGTCTTGGCCAACAAGGACCAGATCAACAAAAAGCTATTAAACTCATCTGTCGTAAAATTGTCGCTCTACGAACATAATCCACGAATGGTGCCAACACAATTTCAACCAAAGTGCCAAGAGAAGCACATGGAGACGGCTGTTGAGGAGAAACCCAAGCCCAAGAGTTCTGCCAAGCCTAAAAATGTTAGCAAACAGATGAAAGAAATTGTAAAGTCTGGCAACCTAATGAAGTACTTCAAAGAACTCACTCCCTCCGAGAGTCAGCAAGGAATCCTGGAGGGGATGCAGCCCTACCAAATGAGCGAATCCTCACAGCAAATGGTCAAACAGCAAGTTCTTCGCCGAAGCGTTAATCTGAAGAATTTCTTTACCGAATCTGAGTCCAGCTCCACTTTAACAAGCAGTCAGGAAGATGTGCAACGCCTGCGAAAACTCTCTCGCCTCTTGCAATCAAACAAACCATTGATAATAGACTCCCAAGATCTTATAAGCCATCTGCAGGATGAGCAACTACCCAAACCACTAAAGCTCTATTTGCTGCAGAGCAATCCCCATTTCCTGAGGGAAACCCTCTCAAAGATGCAGGTCCAGAGCCAATTGCATATTACTGATGATCGCTTAAACAGTAGACAGCAGCGCACCCGAAACAATTATCTACTGCTCCTGGACATTTGCAATGGAAGTGACAAGTTGGAGGACCTACTTCAAGAGGAGAAAAGTGTTTTAGAGATCACCTTCAGGGATCTGAGGAACCCCATGGATCAGCAGAAGGAAAGAGAGTTTATTGATAACTGTGATAAGATTTTCGAAGGTCTGGATGAACAAGGCCTAAACTCTGACAACTTTGAACTGAAGCAAGATCTGCTAGAAAAGCTGGAGTTGCGAAATCTGGAAGTCACTGTAAACGAACAACTAGGCGGTATAGAAACCTCCTGGTCAGAGGATGAATGGGAGGAACGGGAGGTTGAAGTGAAAGGAGAGTCCTTGTACCTGGACCAGCAATTTAATTTTTCAACTGCAGATGCAGTGCCGCTTAGCTCCACCCCTTTGAGAGTAAAACACGAAAGCAGACTACGGGAGGAGGCAGAAGGTGAGTGTAACTCCCGGGTTGCGGCCAGTGATTTGGGTGACAACTTAGGTCGCTTAAACTCCTTAATGAGCACTAGTGAATCGATTTTGAAGACTGAACCAACTGAAATATCACCTCCTAGTCACATTCAAGAGTCTATAATAGAAGCTAATTTGTATCCTGTCGTTGTAGAAAGTGAAATTTACCCATTGAGCTTGGAGGAAAACAAGGTCAGTGCTGAGCCGATTTCAGATATGAAAATTCATGCAGAATCCACGATTGATTTAGATATCGATTTAGATGATTTTTTAGAGCCAATGGACAAGGAAGTCGAACTGATCTCTCAGAAAAAGGTATTGCAATTTATAGACTTGGTAGATCCCAAAGCTGAGAAAGCGCAGCTAATGACCCAGCAGACAACTGAAACATGCGATGATGATTTGGAGCTACTGACCGAAGATTTCCTAGAGCCGATGCGAGAGGAAGTGGAGCTAATTAGTCAGCAAAAGCTGGATGAATTTAAGGATTTTCTAGAGCCAATGTCAGAGGAATTAGAGTTAATGAGCCAGCAGAAGAGAGAAAATCTTTCTCCAAATACAGAAGTCAAAGAGAAAAAACTTTCCTTGAGCCAATCTAAAAATAATTCGCGAAACGTTTCGCCAGATATCTTTGGGTCCGATTCGTTATCGCCTTGGAAGCCTCAAGGCAAAAGTCTGGCCGCAAAATTGGCAGCCAAGACAGTAGCAAAAGCTTTACCGCCACCAGTTCTTAAATCGCCAGAAAACCGTAAGCGCGCGAATCCTCAGACCCAAGATAAATCTCCGAGCATTTTCGATCTGTATTTGAATCGTATGCGAGGACGCGGGCGGCTGGCAAAAGCTGCTGAAACCTTACACCGTCTGACTTCAAACACTTCAAACACATTGGCTAACGACGAGGAAGATTCACCAATAGCACGGCGTCCCTCGAAGCGCAAGATTGTCATAAGCTCCGATGAAGAGGAAGAACGGAAGACGCAAGTTGCGGTAACGGAAGGCTACTACGAGTCAGATGATTACGAACAAATTCCAGACACACAAATGGTAGTCACCTGAATTTATGAGTTTTGATAAAATGTTTACGTGTGTTTCATATTTTCTAGTGTGAAACGCCCACACCTCCTATCAGACCTCGTCAAAAGCGCAGTAAATTTAATTCCTTTATTTTGGATGAGGCTGATAAAAGCGGATCAGAACATGAAGAGGAAGCGGAGACCACTATTGGCACATATCTGAAGGACTCTGTGATAGTTTCAAGCGATGAAGACGATCATAACGACACTAACACTCATGCCATTTACCTTCGAGCAATGAAGTAAGTAGAGGTTAAACTACATTTGCCTTAAAAGTACAATTAATATTAATTGTTTTTCAGGAGCCCCGTTCAACGGCCAGGTGCCTTCAAAATGCCCCCTCCACGAGTATATCGCGACGAATCCCATATATTCTCTCAGCCAGTGGAGGATGATTCCTCACAGTACATGCAGTGCTCATTTATCGTTGACGATGAAAGTTCGGCCATCGAAAGTGGTCGTGATGTTTTTGAATGTCCTCTTGAGAAGGCCGAACGTATTCTAAAGGAGCGACGTAAGTTGCGTCGACAAGGTAAACTGCAACAAGAACCACTCAACAAGCGACGACGATTGCAAACCATGAGCACATCTAGTGATGAAGAGGATGTGGTTTTAGTTAAGTGAGGATAAGGCTGCACATATCTGCCATTGTATTTATAAATTTGTGATCGAGCACATTTAGTCTAAATTGTTAATCCTTTACCGATTTTATTTTGTTACTTTAATTATAAATATGGGACTACATGCTGCTATAGGAATACATTGAACTGCAAATAACTGTAAACTCTTAAAAACACTTGGATACCCGTTTACAATCGAAGTACAATACAACATTTTTACAATTGTTTAACTTTAAGTACCATTGCCATGTTTGAAAAGCATACAAATATATTTATATTAATATGTAAAACGCTCGTTTTTTCACCTTAGAGATTTATACTACCCTTTTCATGAATCAAAAACTTAATTTGAAAAAAGTGTGGACATAGTCGTACGCTGTGGTCTTTTTACAACACAGATTAATTCTTATGGCATCAAAACTACTCGAATTAAAAAAAAAAGGAAAGTTCCTTTGGTAGAAAATCAAATAGTATTAAAATCTGTTCAAACCATGTAGGAATTAGCATAACTTCGTTAAGTTTTTTATTGAGGAATTGAATTATTTCATGTTTATACCGTAGAACTCCGTTAGCATTGTACATTGACATTAATATACCAAACAGATTATTTAGATTGCGGTATATTGATTTTACAAAAGGCTAAGCATTAAATGAATGAATTTTGTCGAAAGTTTCTGACCCATTTCCAGCTGCTTGGGTTTCCCAGTTGTATTTAAAAGACCGAATGAGGATCTGGCTGCTTTGGCGAAAAAGACGTCATGTGTTGCTTTTGAGCTAATGTGTTAATTTTGTTTATTCTGAAAGCGTTCTGACGTCGCATTCGATTGTTGCTCCTTGTAGACTGGACAGCCTCCGCAGTTTCCGTCTTTCTTCGTTTTATTATCTTATTGTGGAACTGTCCACATTTTACGGAGACTGATGCTCTGCTCTGCGTGTCTGTTGTTTGTGCCAGTTTGTGGTCTGGACCTTTACACTTATGCGGCTCTTCCACAGTTACCCTTCGGTTCAACAGAAACATTAGATTGTAGATCTGGTGCAATTTGTTTTTCTTCAAGGCTTTGCTGTCGGGCTCTAGTTTTACCATAAAAAGGGTTTTTGACTTTTAATACCCTTGCAGAGGGTTTTATAATTTTGGTCAAAAGTGTGCAACGCAGTGAAGGAGACATCTCCGACCCTATAAACTATATATATTGTTGATCAGGATCACCTCCTGAGTTAATATAGCCATGTCCGTCTGTCCGTCTGTCTGTTTCTACGCAAACTAGTCTCTCAGTTTTAAAGCTATCGAATTGAAACTTTGCACACACTCTTCTTTCCTTTGCACGCAGTATATATGTCGGAACGGCCGGGATCCTTTCTAGTTTTTTGTATACCCTTGTAGAATAATTCCTTCTTTCAGTCAAAACTTTGCAACGCAGAGACCAGCATCACCAAGCGAGACGATCTAGTCTCCCAGTTTTAATGCTATTTCGATGAATAATTATTATTATTATTACAAATAGGCGAAAACACAAATAGGAAAAACACTACAATCTGACCTAAATGATTTTTATACCCTTGCAGAAGGTATTATAATTTTGGTCAAAAGTGTGCAACGCAGTGAAGGAGACATCTCCGACCCTATAAAGTATATATATTCTTGATCAGGATCACCTCCTGAGTTGATATAGCCATGTCCGTCTGACCGTCTGTCTGTTTCTACGCGAACTAGTCTCTCAGTTTTAAAGATATCGAATTGAAACTTTGCACACACTCTTCTTTCTTTGCACGCAGTATATAAGTCGGAACGGCCGGGATCGGCCGACTATATCCTATAGCTGCCATATAACTGAACGATCAGAAATGCCATAACTTTGGTGTTTGTAAAGTTAGGAAGTTGAGATTTTCTACGGGTTTTATATTTGGCCAATCAATCCCACTTACCAAATTCCATAAGGATCGGCCGACTATATCCTAAAGCTGCCATATAACTGATTGATCGGAAATGCCATAACTTTGGTGTTTTTGTAAGGTTAGGAAGTTTGGATTTTCTATGGATTTTATTTTTGACCAATCAATCCGACCTACCAAATTTCATAAGGATCGGCCGACTATATCCAATAGCTGCCATATAACTGATTGATCGGAAATGCCATAACTGTGGTGTTTGTAAGGTTAGGAAGTTTGGATTTTCTATGGATTTTATTTTTGACCAATCAATCCGACATACCAAATTTCATAAGGATCGGCCGACGATATTCTATAGCTGTCATATAACTGAACGATTGGAAATGCCATAACTTTGGTGTTTTTAAAGTTAGGAAGTTGGGATTTTTATGAGTGTTAAGAATGCATCATATGAATAATTTTGGAGAATATAATTTACAGAATATTCTGCAAGGGTATTTAAACTTCGGCTCCGCCCGAAGTTAGCTTTCCTTTCTTGTTAAACATGGTGTTGTGAAAATTTTTGGATTTAAATAGCGCAAAGTGTAAAGTAATTACATTTTTTATGGTGAACCCACAATATGCCACATAAACGCGTGTTTATGGCCTTGGCGTCCTTCCTGACCCAAAACTTAAGTTTTGTGACCATATTACTTCAATCTATCTATGTATCTATATATATAAAGCTATCACTAAGAAAACTATGAATCAACGCACAGCCAAATCCACTAGTTAACAATATTAATATGCATTTTTATTACATTCTTATAACTTTAAACTGATTTGCTAAGATTTTTTGGGGCTCCCCAAGTGGCCTCAATCGCTTCCAATTGGAAGAAAGGTCAATTTTCTTTTCAAAAATTCTGGACGCTAAACCGTTTAACCAATCGAATCCGTGTTTTCGCCAATAAATTGTTTAAGACATTATAAATGTTTAAAATATTTGACCGCTTAGATGTAAGGCTTTTTACTATTTTTAACATACGTTCTAAAATTACAATTTAGCCAAAAATCTCTTCAAACGTCGAAAAATGGCACTTCTAGACTGAGTATTAAAAATTCCTTCGGTAAAGTTCTTCCTTAAGCTTTAACGATTCATTTGAATCGCCAATCATTTCACCAAAGCTCTAGCTATCTTCTAAAGCCTAGTATCCAGATCGACAAACGATTACGCTAGCGTAAAAACTTTAATCTTTCCAGTGTGACCAAAATTTTTAGAGTTCATCAGATATAAGCGTGATACGGTCGTACTGTCAATCAGCTGGGTTTGTTGACAAGCAGTTAAAATTCAAATATCGTATTTGCGGGAAAGAGCCTTTAAAAGATATCATCAGATACCTTGGCAAGACAAGTCTGCTGGTGTACAAAGAAATTAAAAAACAATACAATTTAAATTTAACAGTTGGTTTTTTTAATTTACTGATAATTATTTGCTAATTTAAAGTTCATAGCTGCACTTTTCTTGTGTTTTTTCGTACATTCTGGACCTAAAAAAATTTTTGCTCTGACAAGAGGCACCCCAGATAGTATTCATATTATTTTGTCCTCACATGTAAACACCTGCAATCGACTTTTGTGAGTTTTTTGAGTTTTTCCCTCCATTTCTTATAATGTTCATTGAGAAGCGCACGCCAAAAGATTAAGCCTAGTATCCTGATCGACGAAAACCGTACGCCAGTCATGAGAGAGAGCGAGAGGCAAACAGCTGGCGTTCACTTTTCGTCTTGCCATTTTTTCACGTCGGTCTCCTGATCGACGAAAAAAATACCAGAAAATTCCATAGCGTTGCCAGTCTGTGGAAATAAACTTTGGGTGAACCCTAGCGAAAAGATTAAAAAATTTAATCTTTTGGCGTGCGCTTCTCACTGAACATTATAAGAAATGGAGGGAAAAACTCAAAAAACTCACAAAAGTCGATTGCAGGTGTTTGCCTGTTGTCAGAGCAAAATGTTTTTAGGTCCAGAATGTACGAAAAAACACAATAAAAGTGCAGCTATGAACTTTAAATTAGCAAATAATTATCAGTAAATTAAAAAAAACAACTGTTAAATTTAAATTGTATTGTTTTTTTATTACTTTGTACAGCGGCAGACTTGTCTTGCCAAGGTATTTTATAATATCTTTTAAAGGCTCTTTCCCGCAAATACGATATTTGAATTTTAACTGCTTGTCAACAAACCCAGCTGCTTGACAGTACGACCGTAGCACGCTTAAATCTGATGAACTCTCAAACTTTTGGTCACACTGGAAAGATTAAAGTTTTTACGCTAGCGTAATCGTTTGTCGATCAGGATACTAGGCTTTAAAATTTTTAATCTTTTCGCTAGGGTTCACCCAAAGTTCATTTCCGCAGACTGGCAACGCTATGGAATTTTCTAGTATTTTTTTCGTCGATCTGTGGACCGACGTGAAAAAAGGCCCGACGAAAAGTGAACGCCAGCTGTTTGCCTCTCGCTCTCTTTCATGACTGGCGTACGGTTTTCGTCGATCTGGATACTAGGCTTAAACAAAGAAACTAAGCAAAAAGTCTATCTATTATCGAATTTAAGGGGGTATATACCTTTTTCATTTTCAAACAAGAAAGGCAAGCTAACTTCGGGCGGAGCCGAAGTTGATATACCCTTGCAGAATACTCTGTAAATTATATTCTCCAAAATTATTCATATGATGCATTCTTAATACTCATAAAAAATCCCAACATCCTAACTTTAAAAACACCAAAGTTATAGCATTTCCAATCGTTCAGTTATATGGCGGCTATAGGATATAGTCGGCCGATCCTTATGAAATTTGGTAGGTCGGATTGATTGACCAAATATAAAACCGATAGAAAATCCCAACTTCCTAACTTTACAAACACCAAAGTTATGGCATTTCCGATCAATCAGTTATATGACAGCTATAAGATATAGTCGGCCGATCCTTATGAAATTTGGTAGGTCGGATTGATTGGCCAAATATAAAGCCCATAGAAAATTTCAACTTCCTAACTTTACAAACACCAAAGTTATGGCATTTCCGATCAATCAGTTATATGGCGGCTATAGGATATAGTCGGCCGATCCCGGCCGTTCCGACTTATATACTGCGTGCAAAGGAAAGAAGGCTGTGTGCAAAGTTTCAACTCGATAGCTTTAAAACTGAGAGACTAGTTTGCGTAGAAACAGACAGACGGACATGGCTATATCAACTCAGGAGGTGATCCTGATCAAGAATATATATACTTTATAGGGTCGGAGATGTCTCCTTCACTGCGTTGCACACTTTTGACCAAAATTATAATACCCTCTGCAAGGGTATAAAAATCGAAATTTTTTATTTTGCTTTATCTTAAAGAACAACTCTTGATAATATTTCCCAAAAC